CTAGTGTGTTCCTATCTGGGAGTACATACAGAAGCCAAGTTTGCTGATGGCCATGTTTAGAGTGGATTACAAAGCACAGTTGAGAAACCAGAGAAAGACTTAATTAAATTAGCAAACTGGATGGCAAAAATTCAGCACAAACCAGTGTAAGATAATGCATGCTGTGTCACACTAATGGATAAAGATATTAAGGCAGTGGGAAAACATGAGACTTCCTGGAAAAGGTCTCTGCCCTTGTGAGCACGACACACACCCGCTCCAGAGTCTACTGTGATCAAGAAACAGATACCACAAAGAAATATTTAGGGGATAGAAGCAAATGTTTAGTGCCAATACAAGACCCCTGTAGTAATCACCAACATATTTTCTTTCAGTATTTATTCTATCATCTCATGATGAAATAAAAGAGAATTAACTCATTACAGCAATGATGAGAAAAGCAGTTGCCACATTGTAAGAAATTAAGCCTGATAATTAAGTAATAAAGTAATATACCTGAGGCATATACACACAAACAATAGAGTAGGACAACTTAAACTTTCAGGAGTTCTTTCTTTCAAAAAGCACTGGTTAGCATAATCCACTGACACTTACTAGTCAACTATTTTCAAAGATCAGCACTTTTTTAAATAAGAAAAGCATTTGGGCCTGGCCAGCCAGCCAGTTTCTTACCCAGCTAAGAGTACGCCCATCCAAGCCACACGCAGACCGTTTCTCCAGGAGATGCTGTGGCTTCAGCATAAGCTGAGTAACATGAGCATGAAATATTTTATGTTATGTGTAGGTGCGAGACATGCTTGTTCTGATTATTCTGACTGATTTTAATACTAAAGTGGTATGAAAAAAGGATATGCTACTAGAAAATCTAACAATAAGGTTTCACACTCGCAGTCAGTTTTGGAGGTTCTCAGTGGCTTCGTTACAGCAAACAGACCACACACTTCATCATACTGCTGACAAACTTCGACTTTACGCAGGACATCTCGAATTTGGCCGATTAATTCGGTGCAGTAAGTTAGCTGTACACTTCTGTTAATATTATCTTGGATATGGAATGACTTTGTATTTAAGCCAATTATTTGACACGCTAAATTAAACATTCCACATCTAGTACAGTAAGGTCTGTGTAGTACTATCCTTTAAAAAGGTGCTGATCTACCCTTGCAGCCATAGGCTCATCCACTACTGCGAAGAGTTCAACGAGCACAATAGCGAGGGCTCAAACCAACCAGTGCTATTCAGCAGCGCACCCCATCTGAGCCAATAACCACTTACGCTCCCCTGCGTGTGCAGAACTCCATCCCATCACTGAGGGAACAGGCACACCAAGAGAGAACTCAGCCTTTTGTGACACTGTTAAAACACCCTCCACTGCTCTCTGCCTGATAGCTTTACCAAAACCTCCCACATTCATCAGATTTACGAGTCCACCCAAAGTTTCAGCTTCAAGAGCTTGACTGCTCTGTCAACCGTGCTGCCATGTGTCCTACCTCATTTTACTGCCATCTAGAAAATCCAGTGCTCCCAAATGACCAGCAATTTCAAAGGTTGTACACAAACTAACAAAAAAAAGACAGGGGAGGAAGAGGAGAGGAGGTGACACAGCCTCAGCTATGGAGATTCCTGTGAATAGGTCAAGAGCACCATAATCGGTGATGCCGTGTCACAGTATCGTTGCCACTGAGGATGTAGTGTATGACCAGGCTTCATTGATAACCCACCTGAAATTCTTAGGAAAGAGAAAAATTGAGGTGTTTAGGTAATATGTATTTTCTAAACAAAGCAATAGTCTCAGGAGAACAGCAAACACATACTGCAGCAACAGAACTGCTCGCTCCGTTTCTTATGAGCAGTACCCCATCGTTCCCAACCTGCCTCACAACGAAACAACTCGCCATACACCACAATAACACAGCTGGCCAAAAGGGACAATATTTTAACAGGTTTGTGAAACCAGTTCTCTAACTGAAGCTTAACCAGTCTGAAACGTTAACACTCTGGAAACTGCACCGGGATTTCATCTTTCCTTCCTTTAAAGATTTTCCATATCAAGCGTGCCTAATGCGTTCTTGCCCTCCGAGCCCAAACCAAGGCCAGCCAGCAGAGCAGCCTGCTCCTCTAGTTCATACTTCATCAACAACATAAGCTTCCCGTACCTGAAGACAAATTCTCATCTCAGTGACACCAGCATCTCAGCAGCAGATGCCTTCCCAGCAATCTAACTACAATCACTGTTGTTCAGACACTGGTACAAACATCCTAGCTCCTAAAAAATAAAACTAAGGAATTGCAGCCTAGCTACCATAGCTATGCCAATAGAACTGTTCTAGGGGCAACAAGGGTGATTCTTAATTTCAAAATAATGAGAGATCTTAATTCGTTCTCTCGTTACGTTCTTAGACTAACACTTGCACAGACCTGACTTCATACAGAATGTTATCCCAAAGGCAACAAAACCGCATTGAAATTTCTGTCTGGAACTCTGTAAACAACATCATTTCTGCTAATCAAACAAGAACGTAATTCACCCCTTCAACTGCACTAGTTTTGCAGACTCAGTGAAATTTCTAAATAATGAGAAGTATTTTGCACATCGAAGCAGCAATTATAGTTGAGTATGATGAATAATAGTATTATTTCAATCATGGCTACTTTGCAGAGCAGAATCGCGCTAGAATGGATAGCCTACAGAGCAAAGAGACCCCTGGAAACAACAACTCAAACCAGCCAACCAGGTGTCCAAAACACTTGGCGTAGTCTATTCCCAAATACCAACTCTTGTGCCTCAGCATGCATCAGAATATCATTATCACCGCATACACCGAGGTGTGTTTTGGGAGAGCTGCTGAGGGAAACACGGTATGAAGTCCAACCCTTGTAATGGAGTTGATGGCAAGGTACAGAAAACTTCACAAAGTGTGGAAGCTCCCCATAGTTTTCAACCCAAGTGGTTAGAAATACAAGTTAAGTATAAATAAATACAATATCATTTTTCCCTAATATCCAGTCTAAGCCTTCCCTGGCACAACTTGAGCCCGTTTCCTCTTGTCTTATCACGTGACACTTGGGAGAAGAGACCAACCTCCACCTCTCTGCACCCTCCTCCAGGAACCATCCTGCCCTCAGGCAGACCCACACTCCCACCCAACTTGGCAGTGGCTGCAAAGGTACTGAGGGTGCACTCGAGCCCCTCGTCCAGATCATTGAGGAAGATATTAAAGAGAACTGGCCCCACTACTGATCCCTGGGGAACAAACACCACTGGTGACTGGCCACCAACTGGGTTTAACTCCATTCACCACAACCCTCTGGGCTGGCCACCTACCATCACATGGGAAGAGAGAGGTTAAACTGGCAGGGTGGGTTTAAGAGAAGGACAAACTTCCACACAAGACCAGGCAGACAGCACCACTGGTTTTCAACAGCCAGCTGCATCTGCCCAAGAGCAAAGACTAGCACATGAACCTGTCAACCCCTCAAGTTCGTTAGGCTCACATAGGCCAACCAGCAACAGTTACCCACTGTTCCCAAGGCACCCTCACCAACAGCTCATGAGTGCCGGCTAGTGCCCAACACAGCGTCAGCTATGCGGCTGCACCCACTCACCACCCACATGGCAGGGTGAGAGTGTGGGTCCTGCACGGACTGATAAACATGTTTGGGAAGAACTGAGGATATGGTCCTGGAAAAAAAACCCAAACATGGCTCATACTGCTCTCCTTAGCTCCTTGGCTGGTTTTGGTTTGGTTGGTTGGGTGGGTTTTCTGTGCACTGGGCCAGGGCGCCTGAAGAGCCATCCACAGTTACAGTGCTAAAGCTGATAAATCCGAGTTCCTCGTGCTTTTCCTACATGTTTTATCTATGTTTAAGTAAACATCAGTGACAACCTTACAGCAGGCAGACCACAGGGACAGAAAGAGGCAAAGTACTCAGCTTCCTGCACACATACAAACAAACACTTCTACCCAGATATTTTTGCCAAAAGACATGCCAGTTTTGCCTTTAATAAAAATCACCAAGATGGGACCCCTAGTAAGCAGGCCTTATAACATATGCCCAGCCCAGGCTCTGCTCCCTTATGTTTTCACTTAAATCAACAGCACTTATACTACATTTTTATAAACTGAATGCAGTTTGTGAGCAGGTTTCACTCCTATCGGGTCCTTATAGCCCTTTTTTCCAAATCCACATACCTTCACAATCACATCCAAAACAGTCTTTATTAATGCTGTCCCTATTCTCACTGGGAATATCTCACTCCCCCTCATACTTTTTATTTTTAACCATAAAGCAAGCATCACCCTGTCATCCGATTCCTTTGTTCACATGTTTTAAATTTAATCAGAATACCTGAGGTGTCAATAATCGTGTTTGTCTTTCTGAGACGAATCAGAAGTGGAAATGAAGCTCATGCTGCATAGCAATCATGGAATCTGCAGTGCTGCTTCTGAACAACTTAAAGACGTCTAAAGCAACCTCCTCTTCTAGTTGAAAACATATAAAGGAAATCAGCCTGTTGAAACTAACTCTAATAAGCCAAGCAACTTCATCCAAATCTTAAACAATGAATTAGTTAAAAGACAGTAGTAAAGATGCCAGGATGCCCCCTCAAATCAGCAGCAGCATCTTGCAAAAAACATATTTCAATTAATCAAAATAAAATGGGAGGGGAAAGAATGTCACTATTATGTTAGATATTTATTGCTAAAGTAATTAATATTTCCCCCTGGCTGCCCAAGACAGTATTACTAAACCAGTGTTAGCAGCAAAGTCTGAAAGTAATACATAGCCTAGAGTGCCATCTTTCTTTTCCAAGAGGAGTTTCAGGGAAATATTCTGTTCATGAATATGGCAGTCAGTTGTTACTCAGGAAGTCACATAACATAGGTAACTAGGCAGCATTAAGCAAGAATCTAAACACGAAAGCAGTTCAGCGTAATCTAAGTGATAGCCTTACAGTGGTGCTGAACATGATTCTACCTTCATTAAAATGTACTTACAGAGCCATCTGAAATTGTTCGAGCCATTTTTTCTTCAAGTCTTTCGTTTTGCAATAAACTTCTAAACCATTTTGACCTTGGATATGAATGAGGTAGAAGCCGTAAGACCACTGCATAAGAAGATCGGAAATTCAAAGGGCATCAGTTATGAAGAAAGGAAAAGCAAAAAAAACCCACGTTTCTATGTTCCTTAACTCCCTGATTTTGGGAACCGCAAGACCACAATATTGTGTTCACTTAGGAATTACTCAAATGTTTGAATTACACAAGAAACAAAGTTGAAATTCCTAAATATTTACTTCAGTTTATATTAAAAACATAAAACTTGATAAATACATTGTATACACATTCAAAATATTTCAAATTCCCGCTAAAAAATACACATTTTAGAAGAATTAGCAACAAACATTTACCTTTTTATTTTCTTTATCAGTAGTGGGGTTATTTGTAATTTTGTATTTCTGAAGATCTATTATTTCCTTCATTTCATAATTATCACCTCTCCGCTTGCAAACAATTACAGCTAGATCAAACAGGAAGATATGCCTACGAAAATACAATATAAAGATGGTTTAAAACACTCCAGAAAGACAACGTCCAGCATCTTATTTTACACACCTCTGCGTGTGGCACTTAAAATTTTGAAGGTGACCAACTAAACTACTGAATAGCACAACAATAAACACTGAAAGTACTTTTGCTGGAGACTTATGACTCACAAGGGACTCTGGCATCTTACATCATCACATAATAGCAAACTGCCCAAGAATCATTTGGCAAACGGATGTGGTGAACGATGGATAGGTCCTTGAACGCACAGCGAAACGGGAAGCGCTCTCAAGAATCACTGAGCTGACCTCTGATTTACAGAGTTACTTCCCAGGCTTTTTAATAGCCAACAGCAGAAGTCATGCCGTTACCTGTCTTGCCTCGCACGTTTGTCTAACGTAGTTATCCTTATTTCCCCATCACCTTGAGGTCTTCCATACTGTAAGAGGGAATGGTTCTGGAAAAGAAGTATTATGTATCATTCAATATAGCAAAAGTGTCCAGATGATGACACATTCAAAGACTAGACCACCTTTTACCCCAGAAAAAGGGCTTCTCAGGCCTGGAGACAACATCTTTTCCTCACTATCACCTAAATGCAACAAAGAATCTGTCCATCCCATTTGTGCCTCCAAATGGGCATGTATACCATTACAAAAACACCTGAGTTACTGTACAGATACAAACCTTGAACTCTGCAAATATATTTAAGTACAGACAGACCCCCAAAATACTAGACATTTCTGTATCTCAATATTTGTGACATTCTAGACCAAGCAAAGCACACTTCCACTTAAATATCACCAAAAGTACTATAATCTCATATGAACTGAGGAAAAAAACCCACTTCTATCAATATATACCATCAAAAATTATTTAGAACTGTATGAATTAAAAATATCACATACCAAATTTTCTATTGATAGTTGAAACTGTCTAATTTCACGGAGTGTTTCATTATCTCTCTTCACTTCATTTACATACTGAGCCAAGTCCTAAAGCATCAACAGAAAAAGGGAGGGAATAAACTGCCATCAACACACTACTTAAATACAAGATTTTAGAGATTTCATTTCTGATTTTGTCTTTGACTTATCTGCATATTTAGGGTTGAGTTTTTTCAATTAACTTTTAATGTTCGAGAATTACCAACATGTACGCCTAACAAAATGAAGGGAAAAAGCCCCTGCATATCTTCAACCATATTGGCAACTGCCTTCATCATATCTAATGAAACAAAAATTCAGTGACAAGAAGGAAGGAAACACACAATTAACTGTAAAAAAGGGCTGATTTTTTCTGAACTTCGTTAATGTCTTATTTTCAAGATTAAAAGATGGAAATGTAATTTATGCAGCATACTTTGGGTTCAGAAAGGCAGTCAACACCATCCAGAAAGTGAGAATCAAACGAAAGGTCAATGGAGCACACGGCAGAAGATGTAAGTAAGGCAGCCCAAAAGCAGCACGCAAGCTGTGAGCTTACCGTAACCCTGGGTGCTTATTAGCAGGGGAGAAGCTACTGCCCCAATAGTAGGATCTTGGTCTTACAGCTGCACAGCAGAGAGAAGCCATTACCTGGGGGTTTTTTTGGGGTAGGGGGGTGCCTGGTTTTTTTAACTGGTTGGTTATGTCCTGCCAGAGAGCACATAAGTGCTACAGCCACTCCAGCAAGAGAGCTCTTAATTCTTTAATTCCTGAAGTCTTTTCGTTCTAGTCCAACAGCCACCAAAAGCAATGAACACCCAAACCTTAGTTTGACTTCAGCACCCTCGGTGGGCCATACAGATTACAACAGGAGACACGAGATACACCGTGTTGGCCTCTTCCCCCACAAAGGATAGGAAGAATGTCACAATCCCAGCACATGAATGTCACGTTTCATGCCGTGCAGCCAACTGAAGCGGAACCGTACTTGGTTTGTGTCGCTGCGCAGGGGCACACACAGCGTACCACCTCATGCAGAAGGCACCACAGCTATTCCATAAAGCGTTTGTTTGTGCCACTCGCAGGTGAATGTACAGCGACAGACACCCTCCTCCTGACAGACGCTTCTGCTCTCAAATGTAAAGCTGTAGAGATCGTTAACATGACAGAAAGAAGTCTTGTAAAGAAAGGTAGCTGTCTTCATCTCACTGGGAAACTGCTCACCTTAGTTAGAACTGACTGACAGTGCCAGAAATATTGCTGAGTTTTGGAAGAGACACCAACATAACTGAAACACCTGTTTTTCATCGCATTATGTGACAGGAAAACGATGGAGAAGTAAACTGAAAGGAGGAAGTTCCATTTCATAAGCCCACCACTTCGGGGAAACCACGGAACTTGCTGCCCAGACTCCAGCAAAGCCCTCAAGTATGTACTTGCCCTGACCTACTCACAAGGCTCACAGCGACCTGCAAGAACACGTCTGAGCTGCTGTGAAGAACGTTATCTCCTCCAGGAAATACAGTTCTGAGTTACCATTTGTACTGCCACCGAAGACATAAATACTTCTTTGCCTTGCATACTCACCTTCATTGCATCAAGTGCCAGTTTGAGATTTGCCTTCTCCATGGGATCAGCAGTGTGCTTCACCAGCTCCTGCCAACAGAGCACATACACCTTTCACCTCCTGCCTGCCAGCTGACAGACTGAAGTTACCACTGCTCATCCCCACCGCCCCAGAAAGAAGAGCCATAACCAGAACACACCACTCAAGAATCCTCATTTTCATCCCCATAGGGAGCAGCCTCTAACTGAGTGGGGACTACTGCAAACAGATAATTGGCAAGTGGTTAAGAATGATTATAGCCTAAACACCGACCTTAGCCAATAATGAACCACCATAAGAAGCCAATCTGTTCTGTCTGGCACGTAAAACGTGCCACAGGGATCACTACTGTACGTGCGTGCTGAAAGCACAGGTAAACTCCAGCTCGTCAGCACGCGGCTGCACGGTTTATCCCCCACTCCGAAGCAGGTGCTTGTCCGCAGAGTCTGCTGGCAATAAAATCTCAGATAACTGTGCAACTGCTTGGAAAGTCACTGTCTCATTATGCCTAAGATAAAGCTGACTCAGGAGATGGATTTAAATCAAAAGTAAATGTTGTTTTTAAAAAAATTTAGTCACTCCCCACATGGAAGAGAAAGGGGCTGGTTTGAGTTTTATGAAGTGAAAGAGGAACCTCTTGGGGAAAAAGGTTATTTCTTCTTTATAGTTTGAGAAGAGAACTACGCATTTCAGCTAACGTAATTTGTTAAAATCCTAGGAAATGGAGGAGTAAGTACTTCTGCTTCCCATTACAATTCTAACTAATGGATTTTTTTCTTTCAAAGTCCATAAACATTTCTTCTTGTACAATGTCCACTGTGGTGTCACACACCAGAGCATAGTGACACACTGTATATCACCTTTGCATAATACAGAGGTTGATCATAAAATGATGACTCAAATCTCAACTTGTTTTTTAAAAAGCAGTTGCATCATTCATCTTCTTTCCAATTTTCCATTGATCAGGATATTGATGACTCAGTTATAGATATATTTCAATATATTAATGTTACAGAATGTATGTTGCTCTGCAGAGACAGAAATTATGCTTGGCATACAAGTAGTGCATCTTTTTAAAAGGACATTTTACAAGCATCGGCAGGGCTGACAGTCTAATACAGTAATATATTTCTTCACAGCTGAACTAATGAGTCTCCTGGCACAGCTATCAAATTAAATTTATAAGACTCTCCACCCTTATTACAGAACGAACTGCAAAAGCCAATGCTTTGTGGGTTATAACAAAAAGCATTTTGAAATAAATACGGCTTTACTGTAATTTATGACAGCAAAGAAACATCTTAAAAGTCCGCCCTAAGTACGGCCCAGCTTCCTCTTGTGGGGGGCAATGGTTCACACGATGACAGTTTGCTAGTACGAACCACCTTCAACACACCAAGCATGAGGCGCTCAGGTACCGAGGACACAGATGTGTTTTATTCCTTTTTCCCACATAGGCTTCCGCGCTGAGCAATGATCTCTGTGCGAAACTCCCCACTTGACGGGATTTTACTTCGTAACAAATCAGCCTCAAATCCAGGGAAATGTCACTCACCACCCTCTGACAAAGACCTTGAGCCATCATGCTTACAGTTCCCTGATGACAAACACAGTTTTGCTCTTGGCCCACTTAAATTTTGAAAATAACATACCTGGAGCAGAAGGTGATATTTTAGCACTCTCTGCATTGGAACCACCAAAAGATCCCGCAATGTAAACTTCCCGTTATTGGCCCTCTTGGAACATTCCTAGTTCAAAGCGTGAGAAAGAACAAGACAAGAGAGTTAGAAAATACAAATATTCAAGTGATATATATGAAAATTCAGTGATATGTGGGCCAAGCACCTACAACAAGCTTGAGATAAAGAACCAAATGAAGGAAAACAGCTGAAGCAGCGATAACAACATCAAAGCGCAACAAGACAGAGTCTAGGTGCTTGTCCTTAGAAATTTCAACACATCAGAAAACGTTAAAAATTACTGTTACCTCTAACTTCAATTTAACATCTTCTTTTGTCTTCGAGATGTTGTCTAAGCATGATATCGCTATCTCCACTTGACTGCAGTACTGTCCATAAATAACCAATCTAAACCAAAGCAAGAGGTAAAGAAGCAGATGTTTCTTTTATTCTTTAAGAACAATCCTTGAGCATTTTTCACAAAAACATCGATAACAACCCTTCCTTCACCAGGAGCAGTGCCTAAATAAGCAATGAGAGGGTTTAGCCACAGACTTCAATGGGCAGCATGAACACAAGGGAAAATATTCAGGAGAACACAAGTTTGAGCTACCTTCAAAATGGTGCAATTTCCTTTAATATTCACAAGTTTATGTTCTCATCAATGCAGGACTCGTTAAAAAGCAGCTAAGTGCTGTTTAACAGAACAACAGTCCATAGTGTTTACAACACTGCAGCCTTCCAAGGTTGTACTGCCTAAGTTCCGCTGCGCCGGCTTAACAGGATTCATCACAGCTCTCCCTTAAGGAAGTGGTAGGTTACCCAAACCGATCCAACAGTTCCTACCAGTCTATATCCTGTGAGCTCTCAGATCAAAATCATAAGGTATGAAAACTCAACAGATTTTCAGTGGCTGTCAAGGACAGCAATGCTTCTTGAAGGAGCCTGGGTTTATGACAGGAGTTTCTTGCCCCTGTTTGGAGTGTCTTTTCTGCGACTCCCATTGCAAAGAGTGCTGTTTGCTTTCACCTCTCCATACATTTGTTGAGGCGATTCCTTCTGTATGCTCCAAATGCCTTTTTGGGGCATCCTTTCTACTGCCGTCTCTTCAATTCCTTTTGCTGTCACTTGACCATTCTTCTTTTTGGTTTTTTTTAACTCTTTTTTCAGAATTACAGTGATGATACTGATTTAACACTTACCACTGCTGATAACTTTTAATCACTGCACGGTTAACACACTGAGTCTACCTCCATCTGTTTCACTGTTGCATAATATGAACTCCAGGTTTTTCCTGGTGTCCTTTGTCCCCCTTTACCACACTTCTCAGACCGACTTTTGAAAGATAAGCATTTTCCAGAACAACTTCTTGTCCTCTAATTCCCTGCCACAGCAGCATAAAGTCTAACAGCCAGGGAAATAATGGTGCCTTGCTCCAACATAAAAGCTGACACAGAGGGTCTCTGAAGGCAAGACTGCTTATGGGCAGCCTGGGACACCCTCCTCCCTCGGAAAACAACTCTCCTAATGTTTTCCGGATGCCGCAGTCCAATTTCTCACAAGCCTGTTATTACTGCAACCACCCTCCTCCCCCATCACCCTCCAGCAAATCCAATTAGCTCCCACAGGTCTTTCCCGCTGTGGTCCCAGAAGGAACTCATTTTTAACCACAAGCCAAGGGTTACTTCAAGGTAGGTCAGCACTGCAGCCAACACCACATGTGTTTTTCAGCTAAGTATCGCAGGCATGTAAGTTCATCTGTACAGCCCAGCAGCTGCTCAGTGCTGGCAGAAAAACCCACCTGAAGAGGTGGGTGAAAAACTGGCCATCGGCCTACAGGACACGGCAGAGCTCTCCTGTTACCAGCTTGGCTGTTTTCCACAGCTTGAAGGTAGAGCATGTTTGCTTTACTCTTGCTTTTACACCTGTGGCTGCAGGGTAGGGTCAGACCCCAGTCTTTCTCTCCTCTCTTTTGCACCTCCTTTCTCTTAAGTTATGACCTCTTCTGTTTTCTTTAACCTGGAATAGCCGTAATACATACCCTTGCCTTGTTTTGTCCCTCCTTCCCCTTTTATAACAGTTTATCTGCTAAACAATACAGGGTTGTGATGTAAAACACCTGGGATTCTTCACATGAAAATATGCCATGCAAAATAAGCTCTTTAGGATTTGTTGAAAACAGAGATGTTACCCATCTATGTATCAATATTGCCAAGACCAGGGGTAAGAAGAGGGAGGGCTCATGTAGCAATAGGTTACATTTTGACTTGCAGGCTCCAAACACCAAAGAGTAGCTTAGTAAGTATACTGGCATCAAACTCAACTCTGTTTCAGAAATATTCCAGCAAAACTACGGTAAAATACTTGACCAAATCGAGCACAGATTATCACAATTAGCAAGAGTGCACGAATCTTACCTTTCCTTGTAGTTAATAAAAATTTGATATAGGTTCTGATCGTTTTTGTTAACGATTGAATCATTGATGTCTTGTGTTAGATTCCTGTGAATTTTCACCAAATCCTTAAAAACAGTAATGAGGAGGGGGAAAGGTTTGTAAAAGCAGAGTCACTTAAAGCTTTTAATATAAGAAAATCAACCATTTCACATTAGATCCATTAATTTCAATAATTTGGAAAAAGATCATTTGAGAGTAGAACCTAATTTCAAGGTTTGCCACATCTTCCATACCAGAAAAACTCAACTCCTAGAACTACCTATTAGAGACTCATTTATTCTAGCTTGGAACATTAATTCATCTTCATTTCATAATGATAACTTTAAAATTAAGCAAGTCAAGTAAATGCTTTAGTGACAAGATAAAGTAATGATTCATGTCCCTGAGCTGTGAAAAATTAGTTTTGTAAATTGCATTGGTCAATTAGTGATGTTCTAGTGCTAAGTTAACGGCAGTCATAATGAGTTTCCCAATACAGCAGGCAACTAACGGCTGAAAGGCAGGACTACTGCCGGCAGGTTTGCTCCCTGAGCATTCTAGCACCTCACCTTGCTCATTATTGTACAGAAATCTGCAAGCAGCTATAGGGGATTCCATACACTTCATACTGTACGGATGCTGCCAGAGAGTTCACAAGAAATTAAGTCATAACGGGTTAAAAAGGTCTGAAATCGGAGTAACTGTCTGCAGGCGGCGTACGGAGCAGTGCGCTGGAAGAGGTGTGTTTAAAAAGGCCACTGAGGCTGGTTTAACGCAGCAACTGGGAGACTGCAAAAATGAGACGCAAAGCCGAGTTGTGACCTCAGTGAAAAGACTTCACACTGATGAGAACTCAGAGTACACACAAGGTCAGTCATCAGCTCGCAGGTGAGGGAGCAGACACAGGTCCCTTGCTAGCGACCGTGTGGCCGTCCCCTCAGAATCCTCACTTGCAGCAAAGGCGCTGTTATCGAAACGCGTCACGATTAGTGCGTTACAGGAACACGTTTTCCCATGAGTGCACAGGCACTTACTAAGCAACACCCTTGAGAAACAGCTTAAGGGGACAAAATGTCTTTCGGAGCTTCTACCTCCAACCCAAAGCCAAGTTCTAATTTAAAACTGTTGCTGACATCGTTAGATGTTAACGAGAGTCCCAGCATTTCAGTGTCTGTTCCCTATACTCCCATCTCTTCCCCGCTGTGGGTCCAGATACACGTTGCAATTCAGATGCATGCGCAGCTGCACATACAAATGCCTCCACACGTGTGCACACGTATATACACACATGTACAAAGGGGTATATATACATATGTAGACAGACATGTATGTACACAGACACACACACAAGTACACAGCCATACATGCAATTTATAGGACAGAACTTGGAAATCTGAGCCCTAACAAAAGGCACTCTCTTACTGGTGAGTGGTTTGGGGTGGTTGTTTTGATTTGGGTTTTTTTTTTCCCCCCTAAATATGACATACATTTTGACATCAGCAGACAATTTTGTCCAGCAAGAATCTTTCAGGGTCTATATAAGGAATGTAACATCACCCTAAAGCACCAATCCTTCACCAGAACCCTCTAACAGAGGCCAGCCCATCCTGCCCTGAGCACACCACACGCTCTCCACACCGTCGTTCGCCCTAGAGCTCTGCGTTAACAGCTATTTTTCGTTTACAACGAGCTTCCACTGCCCTCCAGCCTTCCTGCCGAGGAACTGCTGCAGAGACAAGGTCTGAGCAGACAAAGCTTTTGCACCTATTTTTGGCTTAGACAAGCTCTGTATTTCTTTTAATGCTTTTGGATGCCTATGAAATGTCACTAGAGTCAGAAATAAGCACCATCCTGTATCAGAATACTGAATGCTGATCATGAAAAGCAAAGCAAACCGACCCAAATGTAACAGTTTACTACACTCTTCCTAGTTTCAATGAAATAGATTTTGCCCTTTTTACTCCTCTTACCCGATCCCCTTACATTTCTTTAACAAGCAGTGAGTAAGCTAACTTCTCAGTTTGTGCTGACAGTGTGTAAGCCCTTTTATACACCCGTGCAGTGTGTCATCTTGCCCGGCTTTAGGTCTTTCAACGCACGCAAGTCAACGTGCCTGGGCACAGGGGAGCCTTAAAAAGACATTTACTGTAACTAAGGTAGGGCACATCAGGGCCTTATTTGCACTGAATAAGAAACATGAATGTAGGACAGAATATGCAATTGTTTCCAAAAGCAAAGGCGTGTCTACAGGCAGCTGACATACTTCAAGGTGACAAGCAGATTACTGATATCTGCAGTAGTATGTTAGACTAATATTCAAAGGGAAGGAAATTACAGCAATTGAGATTCAGGGTGAAAAACTTAATAGCGGGAAAAATACAGTCAAGTGTCAGGGATCATCCTGTAATTCATCAGTGTGATAACTATCATAATCTAGCTTCTGTCAGGAGGTGCTGGAACAACAACTGGAACATTCTTACAGATCAGGTTCCCACAGAATAAGAACGTCCCCAACACCATCTCCTGCAGCCCTGAAAGCCAGCAGGACCTGCCACAGATGGCAGACACAGAGGTGATCTTTTACAGGCAATATAGGTTTGATGTGGCCCTGGGCCACACTCTAGGGACCCTTTCTGTACCGCGTGGCTCACAAACGAGCATGTCTTCCATTTGTCAGTGCTGAGAGGGGCTTCAGACCATGTCTGATGCCTCCCTTGAAAAATCAGATACAGATCTGCTGAATACTTACGTGAACTAAAACTAGATGTAAATTGTCATACTATTATGAACTGGCCAAAAATAAGTGGAACAAAGTAATAATCATGGAGACCCTCAAGATTTCAGTCAAATAAACAGGTCTCTCAGACACTTCACAGAGGATTTCCTTATCCTTTTCACTGCCAGATTCTGAATCCAAAACTGTGAGTTATCTTAACTTGAATATGTCTTCGATGACGACAGAGCCAGGGCAGATACAAGGATTTGCAGAGTAGCTACAGAAATCCTCATGAAGGCACCACTCAGCAGTGGCAGGCAACCTAACAGGCACCTCTTTCTACCATCACTAAAACACCAGCATATATTACAAGATAACCCATCTTCTACACATTATTAGCTTCTCAGAGTGAAAGATACTCCAGTTTATCACCACTCACTGTCTGACATAATACTGTTTTCCCTTACGCTATTCCCTCAAGCAGAAAAAAAAAAAATTAAGTAGTGTGCACATCCTTTATTTTATCATCTACATGAATGCACTGTGCACCATATTTCCAATAACCTTTTTATGCAGCACCATACAACACAAATGTATCATCGCCCCCTATGAACATTGTATCTGCTCATTAAATACAGTTACTTACAGGAATGTTGATGAAAACAGTATCAAACTCTGATGCTGACAGAAACCTTTTCAGTGGCACCATAAAAAACTGCAAGGAAAACAAAATGTATATATACACAGACTATGTCATTATATTTTCCAGACTGTTACACAAATATTTAAGTTACAATTCTATAAGTAGTATCTTACTTTTTCTATTGATTCCAGAGTTTCAGTGTATTTCTCTTCAGTTTGCTTTATTTCAGCAAGGCAACAGCTTCTGATGTCATTTTCAGTATGTTTCTGCAATTACAATGGAGTCAAGTTAAAGTCATTAACAGGCACCTAATGGATAACAAATGTATTTGTTTATTTAGAATTAAGCAATTAGGATAACTGCTTCCTGAAATTCTCCGAGCACTGCAGCCTCCAATGATGACAGCAGTAACCAAGAATATTTTCATGTTCCACTCGCTGATGACTTGGAGTTGTACAAAAATTCAGCATCAAAGCAATATTATGAAAAGTTAATGTTCAGACATAAAATGCTCAACTCTCTGCATGTGCTTCAGAAACTGAAATACAACGTCACATTTAATTTACATCCCCACTCTGAAATCCTATTTAAAATACTCAGCAGTTAATAATTCCATTAAACTTAATGGGTCTAAATCACATAAGTAACTTGGCATTGCTGTAAATATTGGGTTCAGTCTAATCCTTGCACTTATTTACAGTTTTCCCCTTTCATTTCTCAAGGGAAGCTTTTTCTTCAGGTACACTACGAGTATATCCTCCACCCAGCTCTGCTCTTGCATATGAATGCACGTGTCTTCCATGAGAAACTAGGATTTTTCCATGTACACCACCACACTCACACGAAATTGAAGTCATTATCAGTACAGGACTCTCAAAATCGTTTTCAAGGCCTCGTACTGAAGATCAGATTTTTCAGCCTTACAGCTTGAATCGCTTGTAAATCTGATTTCAAATAAAGAGTAAATAGCTGGAAGAAGGTCTGGAAGCATTCGTGTCAATGTGCTGGTGCATTTCTTCCCCTCTTAACCCCTGGACAGCTTTGTGGCCTTAGAGATTCCCGTCAAACCTCAGCCATGGTGCAGGGAGGTTGGTGGGTAACCTAAGCACCCCTTAACATACCAAAGCACTCTTGCACTGTCAAGGTGGGGAATGGCTGAACTCGGGGTCAGTTGCCTGGTTACGGTGGGGGATGAGAGTGAAATAATTCATGCCCTGCCAGCCCTGAACCTTATCGCAGCCTGGGTAGATGGGTACCAGCTGGGAATGCCAATGACCACCTGCCCCAGTTAAGGCCAGGGTGTACACTTATTTATGCCTAAAGTCAATTATCTCCCAGCCCTAGAAATAGGGTTCCAAGGATGACCCTTCGAGCTCTCCGCAGCGGGCGCCGCCCAGCATCTCCCTCGCAGCGGGGTGCCTCTCGGAGTTCACAAACTCTCCAGTGTGTGAAATCGGAAAATGGTCGACACAACCTGGGCTGAAAAACCTCCTTGAGGCTCAAGTCTTCACCCGTTGAGAGGTGCACTGACATCCTATGGGAATACTTTCACCAAACTCCAGGGGGAATTTTAACAGGTACCTCCAAACAAATATACATGTATCTACCTCTCTATCTGTCTGTGTAAGTGTGTGTGTGCAGCTTTCTGTCGATAACTTTGTCTTCAATTACGTTACTGCACTGATTTATTGAGAGCTAGGTCCTGCTGGGGAATTGTGTAACCTAAATGTGTGACATATCTGAACAGTGTTAAGGAACTTGGAATTATTGCTGCCCCACACTGTTGCTGTCCCAGAGTTTCACACCAAGCACAAAACTCCACACACTCTGATCCTTTCCCTAATTCCTTAGGCATAAACCATTGACCAGGTCTGGGACTAGGGATGGATTCAGCTGCACCTGAACTTCTATTTGAGGAATTTAGAAAGCAAGGGGGTCCACTCTGAACACTGTGACCAAACGGGTGGAATTTCCTTGCCCCTTTTCCCCAGTCCATATCACAACAATCCAATCCTGCCTTGATTTCCATGACTCTGAAAATTTTTAATTTGTATACAAACTATTTTAATCCACTGCTAATTTGATTTTGCCTTTGTATGCTTTTCCATGTCAAATAAATAGTAGAGGGGACCTTGCCATCAAATTCTGTTAAGTCACGCTTCTCACAAATTCATATTAAAACTAACAGCTTTTCCCCTAATATCTGTGACGCTGATCTTTTAGGCTGCTTAAACCACTCAGCATAGTCCCCCTTTTGTGACAGTCAAGCAAGACTGAAAACATCTGGAAATGGATAGGTCAGCTTGGAGACCTGACCTGATAACTAGGCAGGCTCTTACATTTGGGTTTATTTTACTGTTTTCACATACCTCCTTTACCTTTCACTCTGTCCCCACGTGACTCTACAAGCAGCTCCTGCAACAGAACACTGCTTCTCGCTCCCTTCTACCAAGGGCTGCACTGTCCCAGGAATTACTCTTTAAAACCCAGTTGGAGCAGTTATTAATTTTCCTACAACCAACAATAAAGTGCTGTCCTTATCAGCTGCAGACAGAAGTAAGCATTTTGCAGAAACAGTCTGTCATTATCAGTGAAAACATACTTTGTGAGCGTCATCTAACCATCACCCTCATCAAAATCTATGTTCTTCCCAAATCCTTTGGCAGAGGGAAGTGGGCACTGTCACAGTTAACCATAGTTAATCAATCTCAATAAAGTATTAGAATTTGACATTTTTCAGGCAATCAGTTACTTTTCACCTTTACCTTTGTAGGCTCAATACTGATCAATCAAGCTGCTTGCAGTATTTGCACCAAGACAGAAGTTGTTACACCCAAGAGGAGTTTATATCCCCCAACGTGGGGGTTTGTTTTACGCCAACTCTCATAGCAGCAATGCAAACACAATCCTGGGATTCCACTTAAAACCACTCACTTGAGTTCTGTGCTCCCCTAATCCAAACACATCATCCACTTTAGACAGAAATTAACAGACCAATTTTTAATCTGTATCGCAAAGTTCTAGAATTTGAGTGCAATAAAAGGAGAAAGGAAATAAGAAATCCTGTGCCAATAGCAGTACAAGTGAGAAAAATTGCCTCTGAAGGTCAGCTACTGCTAAAGAAAACTTAACAGAACCGTTTATTCCGCAAGGTAAGGACTATAAATGAAGGATGGCTGCTACTGCAGATGCTGAAAAGTACTGCGTTCTTTTAAAAAAAAAAAAAAAAAATCTACTTGCAGCTTGTCCTGTGCTAGCGTTTTCATATGCAAGGAATTCTCACATAGGATTCGAGTGGAAGAACTGCTCAAAACCGTGATGTTAGCAAGCAGCATATTTACAAACCTGAGAGGAAATTATCACAAACCAGAAATAATTACTGCATTCAACAAAGCTGTCACAGCAAAACAATTGTCATGTCCCCACTCACTGCGTGTGGTGGAAAAGAAATATTTTGCTGTACTATGTTTTCGATTTTTCATTTATTTTCTATAAGAAACAAATACAAGTCTGTTCAATCTGAGGTATCTCAGCTAAGATGCAACTAAAATTAGACTGTGAGCATTCCGATGGCTATATTAATCATTTGCTAGAAACACGGATGTGCAAGAGCGACATTTGCAATGGGAAAGAGAGAATCAAATAAAGTTTACACGCTACCAACTGCCAGCGATTACCAACTGTTACGGCTGACTAAAAGAAAAAGCCACCCACACTCATTATGTGAAACCCAAAACTTAACACACTGACAATTGCAGCATAAAATAAAAACTCAAAACAAGATCACAGCAAAGACTGCCTACAACTCAAACACTTCCGTAAAACATCCTGCCTGAAAGTGAGTGTGACTCCACTAGGTATAAACCAGTGTTTTTTCAACTCGGTTTTTTACTAGGCTTTCACAGACTAGCCTAAACCTTAGAAGGTAAACCAAATTAACTAAAATGTGAAAAACGAACATAACTTTCTGCTTATCTCATCCCTTGACTCACACACATTACCTGCGGGACTTTGTAGTAACATAATACCAGGCTTAAAACCAATGTTATACTCAAAACGAGAGAGATTAAATCAAGGCAGTTATCTTCCCAAAGACAAGGTACTGGTAACTTTGGGGAATCGCCATAAAAGCTGAGCACACAAATCATATCAGCCATCTCCTATACTTGTACTGAAAAGACACACATGGTTAAAAAAAATTAAAGATCTTGAGGATTTCTCACTTCTGCACTTATTACTCAAGAACCAGATGGAAAAGCAGAGGCACACTTCCAAGTTAACACAACAGGAAGCATAACATCGCTTCATGGCAATAGAGAGGAAGAACAGAACTGTCTAACAAACATCCTGTTAGCCAGACTAACATTTTCCAGACCAGAAAGTCCACCTCCGAGGAAGGGCAGACAAGTACACTAGGGTTTCTCCCGATTAGCAAGTAAATTTTATTGCCTAAGTTTAAATTTTTTCAAGACAGTTGTCAAAACTCACCATGGTACCTTTATTTGACAAAGTAAGAAAGCTACGTATGTCCCATTCTCAGTAAGACCAACCTAATGATCAGCAACAACTACATGAATTTCATTTGTATAAAACAATTATCAGCTGTCCTTGCTGTTGTCCAAATTACGGCTGAAACAACAGCATTCCACAATATTATAATGTGATTTTGGAAATAGGACCCCTTGGAGTAAGCAGTTAATTTAATTGCTCTTAAAATAGCTGGAAATTCATACTACTCATAACTGGGCAACTTAAGTAATTACTGTATTTCATTTCAAAATTACCATAACATTCAAGACTTGCAGGCTGGTTTGGCAAAGGATTACACAGGAGATAATGCACCTCACGTGACAGCTCAGCATGCGACCGAGCATGAGTGAAGCTGCAGTGAAACTACCTATAAAGAGCTATTTTCACGAATAAACTTTCAAAATGAGCTAGGAATTGGAAAACATACAGGTTGCTGTGCTGCTTCATCTTTCATGAGGTCTTCATAAACCTCCCCACCTTCATCTTCGCCATAGACACAATCATACAACTCCTCATCTTCATCAACACCAGTTTCACTGGAAGGGAAAGACAACACCAAAAAGCTGTACAACACAAATGACCACCAGCCCTGCACGAGACCGCTCCTCGAAGGAAAAGTCATACCGTAAGCAAACAGATTAATTAATAGAACTATCTAACGAAAAGAACTCATTAAGGGAAATTAATTTTCTTTTCTCAAGGCATTTAAAATAGGATTGTACACAAATGAACTCGGTACTGAAGACTGCATGAATTTAGAACCACAGGAGAAGTAAGCCAGGCATCGCAAGTCATTTGTCAGGACAGTTGTGTCACGAGAGACCGTCCGGCTGCCCTGTTCTCTCCTTCCCCACCACATCCAGGCAGCGGAGCTACCTCTCCTTACCGCCTGGCACCCCAGTGCAGTGGGTTGTGAGGCACTGGTACAGCTCTCCTCCCCACCTAAAGAAAGGATTATCTGGAGTCATACACACTGAAGACACCAGAGCTAGCAGCTGAGAGTCTGTAGCTCCACATTAATTTGGGTTTTTTTAATGAAAGACCATCTCCCAGTACAGCATTTGTCTGCCTATTTAGAACTGACAGGAATATTATTTTCAAAGGCAGCTAATGCCACTTCTAAGAGAGGACATCCATCTAGCCCACGCGGCTCTCCAAGGAGTCTGCAACTCCTACCTTCCGCACACTCAGCTACAGGGAGTGAGAGGCATTCCCAGTCAAACTACGCGTTCTGCAACACGATGCAGATAACAGCACACAACTGAACGCCAATACCCTGCGTTTAGCCAAATATTTACAACGTACTCTATTAAATCTGGAAGACCTTTGTAGATATCTTCATCGTCAACACTTTCTTCTGTAGGGAAGGGCCTATAGAAAGAAAAACAGCATCAATTCTAGACAGCACTAGACTAGTCACACAGTGGGGTTTTGTTTGACTTCTGGAAATTTCACACAGATTACTGTACATTAATGTGTTTGTACAGCCCCTCTTTCTCCGATGAACAGTATATGTGTATTCAGGCGTCTGTAAATAAATTGATACTTAACGTAATAACCCTACCGGATGGGGTTGTTATGAAACACCACTAACACACACCACTGTCAGTTGTTCAACTCAGAATATTAACTACCCTTTTCAGCACAGGACATGGATTACAGGACTGGCTGGGGAATTCAGTCTATGTTTTAAACATCATCAATTCATATGTAAGACCACTGAATCAAACCTTCCAACACGATGGAGAAAACCAAATCACCTTCTCTCTCAGCCCACAATAATTTGGTTGGTTTCCTTTTGGAAATGACAATCTCACAAACCTGGCAGTTTTGCTGATTTTTAGAATGGAGAAAGAAGAGAAAACCTATTCATCTAGACACAGGTCAGCGTGGCATCAGCCTGACTTACAATCTACATGCTGTGATTACTGCACAGATTCTGCAAAACTCATTGCTCACCCTGTGTTTCAGCACAAGTTTCTCCCCTTGTTCCCTCCATGTCTGCCTATGCTGCTTCTAACAACTCTTCCAAGGGGCATCATGCATCCAAAGGGCATCAAGAGGCATACTACCCCCGTTTGCTCCGGCAGTAACATACCTTATTCCTGTGCCTAACGCAATCGGAGTGCGAGAAAGTTTTGAAAGTGTTTCGATCACCTGGAGAAAAAGGAAAAAGAAACCCTGATTAGTTGTAGAACCGAGGCAATAAAACAATTTCTTCTCTATTGTTTAATTATCAGCAACATCATTTCACACTGAATTATATGAACAGACACAGAATCTGGTTGTGCCAAATACTGAGGTCACTGAGCTTGCACAGAATTCTCCTGAGAGGGTCTTCAGTGGTTTCGTACCAGCGGGATGTGATGGAGACACGAGCAGAAAAGGGAAAGCTCTTATTTATAGGTTTTGGCACAAATAAAAGCCAATTTAAATGGATTTAACACCAGGTCATACGTGTCACAAACTGAACATTCAATCTGCAGTTGGACCTGGACGCAACTGTAACCAAAGTTTATCCTACAGACTGCTCCGAAGATGTTTCTATTGTAGCCTCATAAAGACAATTGGAGGTATGTCTTTGAGCTTTCCCAAAGGCTGGCCAGGAGAGGGAGCCAAAGGCCAAATCAGCAGAATCCCACCTTTCGGGACTGCCTTGTGAAGCGAAAGTATTCCTAGCCAAACGGAAAAAAAGCTGCTCATTTGAGCTCCTAAGCTTTGATTAGTTTTAGGAGATAACAGCAGTCTGGAGGATCTCATTCTAAGAAAATACCTCCTCTAAGTGCTCACGGTTCAACATCAGAGAACGAGCACGTTAGAGAGTAGAACACACGTACATATGGTCACAGATGGAGCTCTCCTGCTATCAGCTGTAATAATACACAACCAACTCTGACTACCACCTCCTCTGACACAAATATTCCCTCTTATTTTGAGCACTCTCAGATTGGCAAGTCTTATTTGCTACAGAGAAAGAGAGCCAAGACTACGCCGTCTGAATTTCTGTACTTCAATGACAAAGATCCCTTGAACTTTCCCAGAAGTTTCGGGTTTGCTCTCTGCAACTTTAAATTTCTATTAAGCTGAAGTTAAATTTCAAAGAAGGTTTTAATCAGTAGTAACAAAACTCAGCAGAGCAACTGTGTGTTTCATGGGCACTTGAGATACTCTCCACAACTAAAATGGCTTATTTTGGAGTTCTAATTACAAGACTAACCTGACCATAAAATACAGAGTGAAAAGTACATCTCCCAAAGGAGGGACAATGACAGGTTTACACACGAGAATGACAAAGTAAAAACCGTGGAGAATCATCACCAACTACAGAGCTTAAACTGAAGTTACAAAGCCTCCAAAATGACTCAGGTCCCACATGAAGATGAGCAAAATTCAGAAAGAACCAACTTATATTGTGTCTGTGAAAGGAACATTTTGGGTTCAATTAAGCTGTCGTGAAAATTAATGCCACAAAAAAAAAATCTGGTTTTGCCTTGCAGAAACATCAAAGAAAAGGACAAACAAATACACATGCTGTGAATGTGATCAAAGGGGCAGGCACATTAACTCCCCTATGAACAGAAGGACTGCAGTACAGCCCAGAGTAAGTTTTGGAAATTGGGAATAGAAGCTGACTGAATAAACCATAAAGTTAATTTAAAACTATTTCATATTAGTCAAAAGGTCAAAAAGAAAAAGACTCTTAAAATTCTGGCTGTTGCAGAGGTGTCTGTACCAGACACGAACCTGGCTCTGCACAGCCGGGAGAATCCCAGTGCAGGAGGGCAGGGACAGCTTAGCTGGAGACCAGACAAGGTGGGAGGTTAACCGACAATTCAACAGCTGGCAAAAGGATCTGTCCTGACAGATGGGGGAGTATCCACTGGCAAAATCACAGGAACATGGGTTTAATGATTATCAAAACAGAGGGGGCAAGTCCAGCGAGGTAAACATCCCTTCCCTGTTCCAGCGTGTTGCTTCCCAGCACACAGACAACCTCCTACAAACAACCCACCCACGCAAAGCCTCTTCCTTAGAGGGATTCTCCCTTATCCGCCATAATCAAACCCAGCAGAAGTATAGCTTACTCCTTACAGCTAATTACGGTTGCTTAAAGACAACAAACATCTGTAGGAAAAAAAACCGATGCATTTTAGGAAGATAACTAGCAAATGTTACTCCCAACATGTACGGCCAAATTACAGCCATCTGCGTGAACACAAACAAAAGCAGGAGCTAGAAACTGAGAGGAATATGAAAACTTCTTCAGGAACTGATGTGAAACCTTCATTTAAAGAAGAGGGGGAAAAACTTAAAAGAACAAACCCTGCACGCTGAGGGAGCTAGAAGCATGCTTATGAGAACCCGCACACAGCAAAGGAGACAAAGGAACTGTATGAATAGAGACAACAAAACACTACGAACAATTTTCACTCCTTTTGGGACAGAGAAGGCCAGGCACTGTGAGGAGAGCAAACTAACATCCCGGGAAGCCAAAAGGCAGATGCCTACCAAAATTCTGAACACTAGATAATTAAAGTCCAGCTTAAAACAGCACTCTGTCCAGAACCAGAATGGTCTCTACGGAGGGCTCTTGTTCTGGTGGCTGGGGTCTCCCAGCAGAGAAAACGTCAGGAATACTTACACAAGTGATCGTAAGTGGAACTACCACTTCTGGTCAACATGACCCTTCAACATCACCTTTATCACAGAATCATGGAATGGTTTGGGTGGGAAGGGACCTTAAAGACCATCCAGTTCCAACCCCCCTGCCATGGGCAGGGACACCTTCCACTAGACCAGGTTGCTCCAAGCCTCATCCAGCCTGGCCTTGGACACTTCCAGGGATGGGGCATCCACAGCTTCTCTGGGCAACCTGTCCCAGTGCCTCCCCACCCTCTCCGGGAAGAGCTTCTTCCTGATATCCAATCTAATTTGTGTACATGTATTTGCTCCAACATGAAGCGGGGCAAAGAAAGATTCTCCAGCCACATCAACTTTCAGTTCTTTGGTTCTGAGCCACCGTGAGAACTCTTAGTTCCCAGGTTTTTAGGTCTATGGAGAAGGACGCAGTTACTTATGGGCTGAGTTGTCAGAAAACAGTTTCAACAGATGTTGATCAAAACAATCAAACTAAACCCAGCAAATGGTCTGATTCCCAACAAGCTGGCCAAGACAGATTCCAGAGTTTTTCTGAACAGGGTAGTTCAAAGCCCTGTACAGCTGACAAGAGAGAAGCTATAATATAGCGCAGTTAATGCCAAAATTACAGTCTACTGTACACATCAAAGTCCATAACTTTCAATTTAATGCTTTTCATGGGCTTTTTTTGTCTTGCTCTTTTCCTTTCAGTGGAACTTTAATACTTTTTACCCATTTAACCTTAAACGACCGCCTAGTTCCCTTCCCCAGCAAGGACTCGGACAGAAGGTTCTGTACCTTGGAACGAGGCTAAACTGGATCTTGGCTTAAGTGCAAGAGCAGCACTCCTTGCTTGTCCAAAGTCCAGAACAACAGGGCTCCCACGGCTGGCAATGCTCTGCAACAGCCAAAGGCAAAGGGGGCTGCAGGGCTTTGCACACACGCTGTTACCAGGGACAGGCAGTGAAAACAAGGTACCAAGATTCAGATTTGAGTTCTGGCTAGCTATGACACATGAAAACATCAAACTTTTACTCCAAACTGTCCTGCAACAACTACTTCCCTTCACACTAGAAAGCTCAGGGCCTCTATGACTCTCCTGCAGCGATCCTGAAATTGGGAGATGTTTGCAAGAGACTTTCAGGCACAAAAGGGAAGCCCCACCTGCACCCGCCACAACAGAGCCCTTGGCGCTGATTAACGCTGTCAGACAGAGGCCAAGGAACTCTTTAGAAGTCACATCAAAGCCACAGTCGCTTGAAGACGTGAACATCCGAGTTTGTTTTTCAGCACCTAGCCCGTTCATGCAAAACACGCCACGCAATTCAAATGCCGGCCCCGCAAGCGGAAGCGCACCTCAGCCCACACCCCGGCTCTGCTCCCATCACGGCTCAGTCAGCTGCAAGGGCAACGCTCGCGCTACACATCAACTTCTTACATCATGAATTACTCCAAGAGCACGGGTTTTTTGGCTCGGTATTTATTACAGTTTCACTTGACTTACTGGGGTAGGTCAGACTCGTGAGTTTACACAAGCACTTTCACATCCCTCGCCGAAACCTTACGTTGTTCATACCCTGCAGCCCTACTCGAGTGAATCCCATCGGCTCTTCCCACACACACTTGCAGGATCAGTACACTAGAGCAGCTCTTTCCCTTCCTCCCATAGCAGTGGTGTGTCTGAGCTTAAAATGCGACTTACGTGTAAGCATTTTGGTGGGAGTCACTTTGTAATCTTGTTTCTTAAAAAAGAACTTACAAATCATGCGGTTCAAAACCAAAGTACATTTTAAAAGTACGTTTCCACGAGCAGAAGAAACCAAAGTGATTTTGCAGGTTGCTGTGTCTCCAAACAGGCACCGTTTCCTTGCTACTGACAGCTGCTGTCAGGACCGGGCCCGTATTTGTAATTCTGATGTTCACCTCAACTGAAAACATCAAGTGATCAACCAATGTTGATGGCGACGTGTTCATTGTTTATGCCAATAAACCCTCGAGAGACTCACTTGTGGGTTAGACCTTCAAAGCAGTTGTTTCCATCTGTGCACTTAAATCAGCATGTGTTTTTCTAAGACACAGTAATCGTCACCAAGAATCCACAACCATATTACGTATCAAGTCTTTTTTTGAAATCCGGGCATCTAGCTTCATATTTAAGTGTGGCATTTTGTAGAAAACTTGGCTTTACTCCCTCCCTTGAAGTGAATTTACTTTGCAGATACATAGAAATAGATTACCATAACATAAAGCACTTACTTGCCAACAAAAAACATTGCCGATACCAACCTATTTTTTGACATGCTACTTTTTGATATATGCACATGGGTTTCTTCCCAAACAGGTCTTAGTTTACTTCATTAAATTTTGGGGAACCCAAAAAGAAAAAAAACCACAACCTTCACTTATAAAGGAAAATTAATCCTCCGGAGAGTTGTAAACTCCTTGGCTACAGCCTGTCTTCACTCCAGTCTGTGGGTCAGCACAGTGATCTCAAGCACTCTCACATTCAAGAAAATGCT